ATCAACAGAAACCAGTATTCCAAAGTATGCACTTAAGATAATTTAAGAAGTTGGAACAGTTTCTATGACAATATAAAAAAGCTTGAATCAAAGTACCAATCCATCTGAAATGAAGATATCTGAATGATATCTTTGCTCAAAATTAATAATACATAACATCCTTTATTTATGGATTTGGACATGGGGTCTTCAGAAAATCATCTGGAAAGAATAAAAACAAAACAACCAAGTACCAACCTGTTAATCTTTATACAATCTCTCTTGAATGTTGTTACACTGGTACTGTGTGTCTAGCCACCTGCATCCTTAGAACTACGTGTTCAGAGGTCTTGGTTGCCTTTTGCCTTCAGGAGATTCAAAATGCTTCATGAAAGGCAAGTGTCATTATACCTTATGGATACCTTGAAGACTTAGAGGGAAACACTAAGGAAGTAGCAGGAAAGCAAGGAGGATTTCTTCAGATACAAAAACAGCCCTATGGATTATGAGGTTCAGTAGTGCTACAGGATAGAAAGGTTTAAGCACAAGCATTTGCCTGCGGAGAAGAAAAACAAGAGGTATGTTTCTGGAAGGGCTAGTCACTACTGAGCAAGGCTCCAGCTAGGGGAACAAGCAAGTATAGAGAAAAAACCGCTTTCAGATTTATGGCTTCTTCCTACCAGGAGGAGCTGAGATTTTTATTATGTCTGCATGTTATTTATTCTGTAAGGCTGCTAGTTTATTAGGAAAATGGGAAGCGGCAACAGTACAAGATCCGTTAAGATTGAAAGAACGTTCCACCCCAAACCTTCAGCCTACAAAGCAGCTCTTCCATGCAGTCCAGTAGTCACTGAAAGTCCTTCTGTTTGAGACTGATTTCTAGATTTTCTCCTTTTGTGGAGTAGAAGTGAATAGTTTCCAAACAGCAGAGAATGGCTTGGTGATACATCTCAGCTGTCAGAGGGAAGTGGGAGCTTTAAAAAGTATAGAGAGTTTGCAAGAGTTTGGAAGAAAAATGGAAATTACAGAAGATCCCTCCTTTGTTTGCTCAGATGTAGCAGATGAAACAGGCACACTGAGGGTTTGAATGCCACTGACATGAAAAAGTCTAATCTGTTTTGCAGCAGTGCACTTGGGAGGCAGCATCATGTCTTGGGCTCTGATGCCTGCGTGAACAGGCTGCGTTTCATTCTTTGTTCATGCAGCTCCTACCATTATTGAGATGTCAGAATACGTGGAAGAAACGATTTTCTGGATGAAAAGCAGCTGCTGCAAACTCCACATAGCCACATTGGCATTTCCTCAGCAATAATGTTAAGTTCTTCAAGAAAATCGTAGAGATCATTTTCTTAAATCCTACCTTGCTAAGGAGGGAAGGTATTATCACCAAAACTGCACAAGTAGCTGTCTGCAATGAATAAATTTTCTTCTTTTACATCCCACTTAAAAATAAACTGTAGAATTTATTGTTGGACCTAGACCTGGCCACGCTGTGTCTGTCTTGTTCCAAATGCTGGGAGTTGGTGGATTTCAAGGTGATCGTTTAAATGTTGAGATTTCAATTGGTATAAAAGGTGGCTGGATGTTTTCTGGCATGCTTCATTTTTTTTATATTTTTGCAGAATAATCCTAATCCTTAGATTTCTCTTTTAATTAAATTAAGAAAGGGCATTTCTGATATTCTTTGGACATCATGTGGCCTCCTGAGAACTACAAGTTCAAAGCATTTGTATCATTTATTTGTAAATACAGCACAACACTAGATAGTGTTGGAAGAATAAAGCTAGCACTATGAAAACTAGTTATCTGGTAGATGTAATATTCCCTGTATGGGTTAGTTAGATGTTATATTTCCCTTAAAGGTTGGAGCACATTACATATTAATGTTCATATATTTCATCACAAAGCTTCAGTGGTGTCTTCACTTGGGCAGCTGATAATTAAGCTAGCCATATTATAAAATATGTCAATTCATCTGGGAGGAGGAGGAAGAAAGTGTTCTGAACCTGGCAGTGTAGTTTGAAGTAAAAAACAGATGAACTCTTCCTCACCTATGCACAGGTGAGCCAGAAGAAAGCAGAGCAGCAGGGCTGTGGCTGCTACATAGACTCGCAGACTACGTGTTATGGGTAGAAGGGCGCAGTGTCGGCTTCTCTGTCACTGTTCAGCAGGCAGCAGGGAGCCCTGGCAGAGCCAGGAGGGTGCAAGGGGGAGGAACCTTTCTAACATTCACTGTACTTAATTGCACTGGGCAATGCATGCAGATACTGAAGCCAAGTTCAGTAAGAGTGGTTTTAAAGACCTTTTATGTTTCTAGTACATCTTAAAGATAATTCCTCCTATAATTTGCATTGTGATTAATTATTTTATTCAAATTTGGAATTGCTTCAGTTTTTTATTTAAATGCCTGTAATGGCAGGAAACCTGCAGTCTGGTAACTACTTAAAACCGCAGTGGTTATGGTAATTGAAGCAATAGTATTTAGAAATACAATCAGTGGTTAAAAAAAGGTGTCTTAGTGAGACTCTATCAAGTGAATGAATTACTGCTGAAATATTAAAAAAAAAAAAAAAAAGGACTTAGTGTCCCATGAGGCACTTTCAGAGCAAACTCATCAGTATCAAAGGACAAGATACTAAGAAAACTGTTATCTATTTGACTTAATTTCTATAATGAGCCAGTTGACACAAGATTCCTGATTCATATTTAGAGTTTGAATGCAAACCCTTACTTCAGTGTACATATTAGTGGTGGGAATTTTATGCATGAATTGGATGCATGCAGTTCTTTTCACTTGAAAATTTTTGTCCTGATGTGATTGTATAGATTATGAACAAGTCACCTCAATATTTTTTCAGTATTGACTGATGATGATCACTTCTTCTCATGCTTTTTTCAAGATGAAAATGTTTATTTTACTAGATCACAACTATATTTTGGCCCGTGAAAGCTAATAAAACAGTCTTAGCTGACTCTGAAAACCAGATGACAAGTACGCATCAGAATATAAAATGCATTTTAAAGCATTTAGAATTTAGTTACAGCTATTATCTGACTGTATAAGGTCAGGTAACTTTCTTAATGCAATCACTGGAAAAGATTTGAAATTTGTAAGTAGCTGTTCACAGTAAGTGAATTACACTTGTTTTCTTAATAAATCATTTGATGCTATTCTAACAGAGACCATATTGCACTCTTCAGATATCACAGATTCACTACTTGTTTCTTAGTAGTGGAGTATTATAAGCACTATAGGAGTAATTCCCTTGAAATCAATAAGGTTATGGTAGATTTATACAGGCATATGGTAAACGAGGACAGAATTGAAAGAAGTAATAATGAATTTATCCTATACTGACTGTTGAAAATTTGACCTTGTGACACTTCACAAAATTTTTAAGTATGAGAGAATTTCCTCCCATATTCACTGCAAACTTGTTTATCTGCTCTTTGCATGTCTTCATACCATAGTATATAAAGTGTTTTGCCTCTGTTCGGTATATCTGTGAATTTAGATATAGAGGCAATTATGAATGAAGAAAAAGATGTTTATTTTCATAATACTTCTATGATGAGCTTTTCTTTAAATACTTTTTGTGTATGTTCTTAAATGTTGTACATACTTGTTATGTCAACTCATGGCAATATTGCATGTATTTTAATACCATTCCTAAAATAATTCCATGGTCTTCTGCTCAGAGAAGGGGCAGGGGGGGGGGTCTACAAGTCTAATTTTTCCCTATCTCTGCCGTGTACTTGTAACCTGGAGAAGGCTGTTCAGCCTTTTTGTCTTATGTATCGCAATTCTAAATGTGGCTATCAGCAGCTCCCTCACAACATGGTGTTGGTTACAGCTAAGTTATATTTGGGTCAAAGTATTATAAAAATTCATACCACTTTTCTTCTTTTCTTTCTAATAATCTTCACTATCTGCCCACTCAAAGCATGAAGATGTTTTGTTTGCCATATGTGCACATCACCCTTCCACTAGGAAACATGCTAACAGATGAAGGACAAACCTCAGTATTTTTGGTGGCCTTTTTCTTTTGTTTGTATTTACTTTCGTAGTTCTTTGTGTTTTCCTCTAAGCAAGACAGCAGGGTCTACTAATAGCTTTTTTTCTGCTATTCCAGTGGACAAGTCAGTAATCACACTGGCTTCAACTCATAGCCTCAACATTTCTCTGTGGAAGTAGCCAAATTGCAGTTCACTAGTCATCTTTATTAGTAAATTTCCAGCTTTAACCTGTACAAAACTATATTTCAGTACAGTGTTTCATTTAGTAGAGTCAACAATTTGTAGAAGCCCACTCTGAATATAGATCTCTTTTTTTTTTTTTTTTCCCTTTGGCTTTCCAATGGAAACATGCATCAGACAGTTTTTTCAGTTTAGCAGGCATGGAGGTAAACCTCTGTCCTCTGCTGGGTCACTTTTGTTTGAATTTCTTTTACCTGTACAGAGGCAATAAGCATGACTTTATACCCTTTACGAATGCACTACAATTATTTAGCTAATATGTATAGTAGATACCTAGAGTTAATATACAGCTAGTGTAAACATTAATATGCTTAGCGTTCTCATCACATCTGTGCTGCCCAAAACTGGGCCTCAGTCACAGATATCTAAACTCATTAGGTATACTGAGTTATAGGGATAAATAGTAGGAAGTTCTACGTGGAAAACAGTGTAAAATGTAACCTGATTTCAATGCATTTTCACATGTGACAATGACTATTTAATCATTTTTCCCTTTTAATCCAACAGAATAGTGAAATTGGGACATCACAATGCGATTTTTGATACTATGATCAGAACATTAAGAGTATTTTAAACTAGAGCTAAAATTGAAGTTGTACAAAAACAGTTAATTTTGCCTCATTCTATTTTACCTGCTTACCTTAAAATGTGGAGTATGAAGTCAAGAAAAATAAGGACCGCTTACATGTTTTACTCCAATATTGTACACTGCATTTATTTCTGTTTTATCTAATTATCTTTTTCTACTGTGTTTCTTTTTTTAGGAGATTCTTAAGAATGAAAATTACAGAGAAGAAATGAAACAAAAAATCAGAGATGTATCTGAAAAGGACAAGCTCCTTCAGGCCAAGGAATACAAAGAGGGACTTGTTGCTGAACCAGTTCATACTCATGTTAAGGGCCATGCATCAGCCCCTTACTATGGAAAGAAAGAGCCTTCCCAAGATCCATCAAGCACTGCAAGTACTTTTCAGCCAGGTTCCTGGATGCCACCAGGCAGCAGTAGCAGTCATAATAAATAAACAATTGTAATGTACAGTTATTGCCAGTGGATAAATATTTTAATAGAAAACACAAACAATTGCTATACATATAGTGTGTGTGTGCAATAAATTAATATTAAAGCTATGTTTATTTTTGCAGAATTATTCAAATAGGCTTAATTATGACAAACCACTGTTAAAAATCTGTTTGGATTTAGTGAAAAAAGAGATATATTACTAATGAACAAGGGTTTGTTTTTTTTTTTTTTAAACAGTTGCTGTTCCTCAGTTATTCTTTAGATCATTTTAGGTCAGAGGTTTTCTAGCTAGATGAATAACTTCCGCAAAATAATTTTTTAAGTTGACTTTTTTCTTGAAGACACAATTATGCTTTCGATGTAATGAATTTTAGTTAATTTAATACACTTTAAAATGATCTTAATTCTCAAACCTAGGCTTTTGGTCAATATAGTTCTCTAAAATTCCTGTTAATTCCCTCCATAGTGCCAGCATATCAAAGTTGTTAGCTTTCCTCTGGTAACTGGATGGTCAAGTTGATCTCATTAACAGGAAGTACCTTAACACTATGGTGACTATGCTTGTCAATAATTTTAGGGACATGGTCTTGTAACTTAGGTTAATGAAGGAGTCAACATATCTGATGTTTTACTAGCCAGCCAACAGTAAGCACAAAATACAGAGTTAAACCACACGTAAGTATTCTTAATAGGGTTTAGAAGCACTTAGTAAAGCTAATGAAGAATGATGAAGAGGTATGTTCTTTTTGGCACAAGGGACTGTCAGTTATTTCCAAAAGGAGCAGTGGTAAGCTTGCTCTTTTTCTTTCTCAGACACGCACAGTACTGTGCCCCCTACCAAAGCAGCTAAAAATCTCACTTTTGGCCTGAGGCTTCATTAGCTTTTATTTCCGAGTGCATGCTGGGACTTCTCTAGATTTTGTTAGATATATTTGGCTATAGTTTACATATACACAGATTATGTGCTTAGAGATGATGCTTGAGAATTTCAAATCAAAATAAAGACCACACTTTTTTGAAAAAGTATCAAATTTATTAATGCAGTGTCATCAGTTCTGTTCCCTGTGTTTTAAGCCATGTCAATATCAAAGGTAACAACATCAAAGAAAAACACTGGAGAGTTAATTCCTCATAAAATTTGTAAACATTACATTCTAATAATGCTTGCTTTGACCAACAGTAGTTGAAGAGGGTCAACAAGTTAGTGACTGCATATAAATTTCACATTCTATCTTTTATTTCCATTAAACTCCTCACTTTTAATCCTGCTAGTATCAATCACCTCTGTAGGTCTCATCTGAACAATACATCTCTGACTTCTTTTTTTTTTTTTTTTTTTAGAAAACACACATGATGAATGGACTAAATGCTGGAAAGCACAACTATGTGCTGCTGTTTAGAGACATGCTGAGTCTAATAACCTAATGACTGCCACAGCCTCTTTAGAACTAGACTAATAATGAACCTTAAGCTTTGAAAAACTAATCATTTCTGTTAAAAATGAATTGAAACTAAGGTTAAATAACTTTGGCATATTTACAACATAAGCCAATTTGGACTTTTTCACAATGCCAACTTTTTGCAACCTGGAGATCAGCAGAGTTCCAAGGGCTATGAGAACAACAACAAAAAAAACCTAAACTCAGAAGGTCCTAAATCACATGTAGCTAGAACGTTAGAAAATGGCAGGAATTATCACCAATGTGCATATCCTCCTCATATACTGTTCCACAACCATCTACTATAGGCCACTAACACACAGGATACTAGGCCAGGTGGGCCTTTGGTCTGACCCCATTTATGGCTGTTCTTTTAGGCATAAAAAGTTTCTGAAGGCAGAAACAGGTTATAGCTAGAGTGTTCGGGTGATAATTAGGGAAAACAAACAAACAAAAAAAGTAGCATATTTTGTAGAACACGAGTGGCCTGAAACATTTTAAGATGTCAGGAACAACCACCAGCTTCCTGGAGTTTAGACTCTAAAAAGACTGTTGATGGCTGTTAGTTCAGGAACTAGAAAAAGCAAAGTTTAGTTTCTCTGTGCAGACAAGCCCCACCATGAAATAAGCTACCTCTGTGGGACCAAAGCTCATCATCATTGAATCTGTGTTAATATTTTTACTTCAGATGAAGGGTCCTTAAAGGAAATCAGTAAGATATGCTAGCAGACTGCAAAACTTTGGAGTTATTTTGTCTGCCACAGGTATGCCAAAACTTGCCTTTCTGTAATCCTGTTTGCCATGAACTACAAATGTCTGTAAGCACACCACAGACTACTGCTGCAGAAAGTTCCTACAGCAATAAAAATAAAGAGAGTGACTTGCTATACAAGGAACCAGAGATCACAGCATTAAGGAATCAGTTTACATTTTTCCCATAATTTAATTGACACATTTAAGACAATTGTTAAGTAATAGCTCAATTAAGGAAAAAATATCCACCCCCACCCAGCAGATTTATTTCTGAATTTAACATGCACATTTAGAAAAGCAAGTTGCATTAGTACACAAGTAGTAGAAGAAGTGGTGGTATCAAGTGCCATGTAAACTTTAAGACAAATCATTTCAGCAGAAATAATATCTCAGGAGTTAAATTTCAAACTTCAAGAAATCATAGGATCAAGTATTGAAAGTTACAACAGAAAACATAACATACAGCAGTGCTTCATTTAAAAAAGAGGTTGATTCTTCATACAAGGAAGGCATTTTTGCCCAATTAATCCTTCTTTGTTCGTTTGGCTTTTGCAATATTTTCCTGGCGTTTCTGTTTCTTCTTTTGCTCTCGCTCCCTGGCCTCAATCATTTTTGCAAGTTTCCACGACAGTGCTGCGCTAATTATGAACAATGGTGTAAGGGCCAGGATCACCGTAGTAAGAAAGCCATATGGGTCCTTTGCAGCCCACTCCACAATGTATTCAGCCCAAGCCTTAATATCCAACATCTTTTCTGTTTTTCTATTGGGGAAACCCTACATAATAAGAAAAATAATTCAATTTCTGAGTATTCAGAAAAATAAAAACATATATACATGCCAATTACCATTTTAATATAAATCATCACTGTTCATTATTAAAGGGCAAGCTGTTTTTTTTCCTAGAAGTTAGAGTGACGTGAAAGTGAACGGAAAATGAAGTATGGGCTATATGTTAACATAACTACAGCGTTTGCAAAACAATTAGGCATTTCATCCAACACAGCTTCAGGTGCTACCAATAAAAAGCTATTCCATGGGAAAAAAAGGTGAGGTCTGCAGTCCTTTCAGGGGAGAAGAAAATAAACTCCAGTTAGTTTATCTGCCTATAGTTTGTACTGGGGGCGGG